CCAGTAATATTTGGGGTCACAAGTTTTGCCATGAATATTTTTTGGGTCATAAGATAAAAAGTTTGGGAACCACTGGTCTAAAACATTGTAGCTGGGTATGGCCATGAAATTAGGATCCCAGTGAAAAAGATCAAGACCTCCATGAAAGGATTTTATATCTGCTGTGGTCCTGCAGGAGGTGCTGAATGTGTCACCGGGTAGAATGAGGTCAGGGATTTTCTCCTGGACTTGCTGTCCTCTAACCATGCAAAAGCAGCTTATTTGTGGTGTTTTGATAACTTAGCAGGCCTACAAGTAGCTACTGTTTCTGCAGGAACAGCAGAAATGTTTCCAACATGTGAACACTGACACATTTTCATAGTTCTCGTGAGAACTGGTGTCSTCTTAAAGGGACAGGCTGAGTTTCTGTTATTCCCACAGCTCACAGTGAATGGGTGTCGCTTTAAATCCACATGAGGTGAAACCGGAGCGCGCGCGTGTTCGCTCGTGCTGAAGTTTCTGCTGCGTCATGCTACGTTTTCGACCTTCGGCTCTCCGGGCGGGTAGGCAGTTCCTCGGTGCGCTTTGATAATTGGCTCTCCTCCTCRGTGTTCTGCAGCTTCTTGACTTTTATTTTTTTTTGTTACGTCGTGGCTCGGACGATCTGTCACGCGCACGTTACGTGGCGCGCGAGTGCCCGATTGCCTGCGAAGATCAAAGTCCCCGCTCTGCGGCGCTCTCCTTATCGGAATGTTTGAAGATTGACGAGGTTTTCCTCTCATGTCCCGCAGTCCAGCGCACACTTCTTATTCTTGTTGTGACCGCTGCCGTGGAGGAAGCTCCGGGGCCAGGAAGCCGACAGAGACAGCGGGGAGGCGGGAGCCACAAACGTCGACGGAAGCACCGGTGTCACCATGACTGAGAAGCGGATGTCGCGCTGGTATTTCGGGGGGRTGGCTTCCTGCGGAGCCGCCTGCTGCACACATCCTCTGGACCTTATCAAGGTGAGGGGCACAGASCTGTGTGGACCACCTGTAATTATTCATCTAGTTAATAAGGAACACATTGTTGCTTATTCATGAAAGCTATTYAAGTCGTCAATGAAACAGTGATTCTGTCCAATCAGAGCTGAAGAATCATGTTTCTGCAGGGAAATATGTTGAACAAAACRGTAGCTATTTTGACTATTTTAGCTACTTTCTGTCTATTAAGTTGGACAGATTTTTATAGTGACAAAATAAGTGAGAAAAAAAAATCACATTTCTGCAGAAAAGAGGTTTAATCCTGACAGCTGAATGTTTTTTTCCTCTTACATWTGCAGAAGAAGCTGAAAGTGATTTAATAAAGCTAAAAGCAGCAAAACACAAGCAAATAGCTAAAAAAGGCAAAAAATGTTAGCTAAAAGTAACAAAAAGCACAACACTAGCTGGAAAATAGGGGTGTAAGAAAATGTCGATACACTGAAATATCGCGATATTTCATTTCCCGATACTGTATCGATGTTCTAAAGCCCTGTATTGATTTTTTTATTAAGGTTTAAAATGTCAACTTGTGTATTGGCAAGAATTTGGCGATATGATACATATCATGACAGAGGGGTCACGATACGATATATCCTGATATAT